AGAGGAAGTTAGCATATTTATGGGAAATGCAGGTATGTGATTAGTACTACTTGTGAAATGCGTAGGAGGTGTGCGGGGAGTTTCAAAGTCATATTATGCCCGTGCATTATGCAGGATCAACAGCATCAAAGGGAGGGGATAGGGGTAGCATTAATAAAGGGAAGGAATGTTAATAGTATGTAGCTGCAGTAACTAAACAACCATGTAAAAAACTAAAGTATAAACTACATAGTATCATCAGTATACTAAATATACTCTCCAATAAGCTGAGCTACTAACAGTAAGTAATACATTACAATTCTATGTCGAAAAATATATAATATGCTTCCAGCTAAACTTTTTTCCTTACATCACACGGGTCTACCCCGTACTATATGCTGCCATAGACAAACCCAACATTAAATTATATACTGTATTACTATACACCACCCTATACGGCAAATTTGTAAAATGATTAATATATATTCGTGGGTTAGATAATTCTTAATGATGTTGTTTACCCTCCTTAATGTGACATAGCAAAATGCATAAAATTATCACGTGGATAATAACTGTACCAATTGATATTGTTTCAGCAACCTGGTATGTTGAAAACCCATTCACAACAAAATTATTAGACTATTAGATTGGTGATAATAATATTAAACTAACATGCTTTTGTTCAAGTTGCAACTTGAATTGTTTGGCTGTGTTAGGTGGAAGGTATGTAACACCTATTTAGCATTATATTTATGCAATCTAACCCAAAAATAATTTAGGAATCATCACATTGCTCGACAAAGCCTACTGTTAATTACATTTGTAGCACTATTATATTTTGGCAATGGCCCATTTTCAGAGTAAGACTGTATTTGATTTGAAGCTTTCGTGACTGCAGGAATTACTCTTTGGTTATTTCGGTAAAGTCACGAGAGATGTGTGGAAATCCACCCCGAAGCGGCCGGGGGAGAGAAAGAGCGAATGGACCTATGAGAGTCCTGGTAAATTTTAGAGAGAGATATAGGCCGTTTGAGAAAACAAACTTAAAAAAATATTGAAATGTAATGCAATGCAACACAGAGAGAGAGAAAACAAATTTACATCCTCAGACACACGGAGAGAGGATTTAAGATTTTTTCTCTCTCTGTGTGTGGCTGAGGATGTAAGTTTGTTTTCTCTCTCTCTCTGTGTATCTCTGTAAATTTCACACTTAACTTCAAATTTAGCAATCTTTGGAGATCGTAATCAACCAGGCTATGCGTTAACTGTGTGTTCGCCGACTCTCTGTGTTGCATTGCATTACATTTCCCAAAAAATTGCTAAATTTAGTTTTCTCAAACTGCCTATTTCTCTCTCTAAAATTTACCAGGCTATCATAGGTCCATTCGATCTTTCTCTCCCTCGGTCGCGTCGGGATGGATTCATTGACATGCTAATTTCTTTGCTCCAACAGCTGCCCCAGCAGACCCGCCTCTCTCTCTGCCCCCCCCCCCCTCTCTATTTAAGGCCTCGACACAGAGGCATTGGGTCTCTGTGTGTCTATGTTGTGTGTCTCTCTCTGTGTGTCTCCGTGTCTGTGTTTTGTCTCTCTCTCAAATTTAGTTCTACCTGATGACGGTTGCTTGTGTTGCAATCGAAACGTCGAATTCTATTATTTAATGTGTTTTCTTTCTACGTGACTTTACCGAAAGAACCAAAGAGTAAAACTGTGTTCATGACAAACATGGTGAGTTTTTTTGTATTTGTGCTTGTACACCACTACCATTGAATATGTCTACATCGACAGCCCTTTCGTCTCTCACTACTATGTGGAGGGCCTTACAAAACCGTGCGGGTCGTGAAGGCAAGAAGCACAGATGTGTAAGCATATAAGTATATTACAACAACATATTTTGCTTCATAGCCCTCTGCTGCTCCCCAAATAGCTACGTAAGCCCCATAGCAGCCCATTTGTGCATGGTGGTCACCCATTCAAGCACGATCCAGGCTCAACCTTGAGATCTGATGACATCGGGTATATTCCAGTTGATTTGGTCATAGGCACCACTGCTATTACAGGTCCTAAATGTTTTATTTAAAATCTACAATATGAATTCTTTTTCTGAATATTACTTTTAGTCAGTCAAGCTTAGAATTTCTGATACTCTCTAAAGCTAGCATGTTTCCCATCACCAAAGGATTTCCAAGATTGAGTAAGGGTAACTAACACACAAATAATGTTAGAAAATAATTAACATGAACAGAATACGTTCTGATAAATTCCAACACTGTCAAACATTACACCATTTTTAATTTAAAGGAAAATGTTCCATGTCTCTCTCCAGCTATGAGTCTTGTATGAGTCAAAAATAAAATAAAAATACGAATTAATGGGTCATATAACACTTTACTGTATATTATTTTGTGCATATTCCATATACAAAATTAGGATTGAGTCATTGCTACTAAGTCTTACCTACTTTCCCAAGTTTGCTTGGCCATTTATTTCCATATGTATGGCGTTGCCAGATCAGCTAATGCCTCCTTATGCAAAATAAAAATGAGAACAATGGTATGAATATTGTTTATTATGACAAAGAATGTACTTGCCTTGCTGACGTTTCACAAGTTTGAGCAATCAAGGAGAAGAGGACCCCAAGATTTACGTGATAAATACAGTGAGGGGAAAAAAGTATTTGATCCCCTGCTGATGTTGTACGTTTGCCCACTGACAAAGAAATGATCAGTCTATAATTGTAATGGTAGGTGTATTTGAAAGTGAGATACAGAATAACAACAATAAAATCCAGAAAAACGCATGTCAAAAATGTTATAAATTGTGCATTTTAATGAGGGAAATAAGTATTTGACCTCCTCTCAATCAGAAAGATTTCTGGCTCCCAGGTGTCTTTTATACAGGTAACGAGTTGAGATTAGGAGCACACTCTTAAAGAGAGTGCTCCTAATCTCAGCTGGTTACCTGTATAAAAGACACCTGTTCACAGAAACAATCAATCAATCAGATCCAAACTCTCCACCATGTCCAAGACCAAAGAGCTCTCCAAGGATGTCAGGGACAAGATTGTAGACCTACACAAGGCTGGAATGGGCTACAAGACCATCGCCAAGCAGCTTGGTGAGAAGGTAACAACAGTTGGTGCGATTATTCGCAAATGGAAGAAACACAAAAGAACTGTCAATCTCCCTCGGCCTGGAGCTCCATGCAATATCTCACCTCGTGGAGTTGCAATGATCATGAAAACGGTGAGGAATCAGCCCAGCACTACACGGGAGGATCTTGTCAATTATCTCAAGGCAGCTGGGACCATAGTCACCAAGAAAACTGTTGGTAACACACTACGCCGTGAAGGACTGAAATCCTGCAGCGCCCGCAAGGTCCCCCTGCTCAAGAAAGCACATATACATGCCTGTCTGAAGTTTGCCAATGAACATCTGAATGATTCAGAGGACAACTGTGTGAAAGGGTTGTGGTCAGATGAGACCAAAATGGAGCTCTTTGGCATCAACTCAACTCGCCGTGTTTGGAGGAGGAGGAATGCTGCCTATGACCCCAAGAACACCATCCCCACCGTTAAACATGGAGGTTGAAACATTATGCTTTGGGGGTGTTTTTCTGCTAAGGGGACAGGACAACTTCACCGCATCAAAGGGACGATGGACGGGGCCATGTACCGTCAAATCTTGGGTGAGAACTTACTTCCCTCAGCCAGGGCATTGAAAATGGGTCGTGGATGGGTATTCCAGCATGACACTGACCCAAAACACACGGCCAAAGCAACAAAGGAGTGGCTCAATAAGAAGCACATTAAAGTCCTGGAGTGGCCTAGCCAGTCTCCAGACCTTAATCCCATAAAACATCTGTGGAGGGAGCTGAAGGTTCGAGTTGCCAAACGTCAGCCTCGAAACCTTAATGACTTGGAGAAGATCTGCAAAAAGGAGTGGGACAAAATCCCTCCTGAGATGTGTGCAAACCTGGTGGCCAACTACAAGAAACGTCTGACCTCTGTGATTGCCAACAAGGGTTTTGCCACCAAGTACTAAGTCATGTTTTGCAGAGGGGTCAAATACGTATTTCCCTCATTAAAATGCAAATCAATTTATAACATTTTTGACATGCGTTTTTCTGCATTTTTGTTGTTGTTATTCTGTCTCTCACTCTTCAAATAAACCTACCATTAAAATTATAGACTGATAATTTCTTTGTCAGTTGGCAAACGTATAAAATCAGCAGGGGATCAAATACTTTTTTCTCTCACTGTACATCATAGCAACCGCATGAGACATATAAAGAATTGCAGCTTATGTCCTGCTATAATTTGACTGTTACTTCATTTATTCATTCGATAGTACTCTCACTTTTGTATATTACATACACAATGAGAATAATAAGAATAATTTTTGATTTGCGTACAATTGAAATAATAATGCATTTTCACTCTCTCTGTTTATTTTTTAAACGCCATTATATCATGCATTCCAAACTGAATATTAGTATTAATAGGTGCACTTACCCCTTTGGAACTTCCGACAGTGTTTGCTTTAATACAATGGAAAGTTCGAACTTTACAGGTGCTTTTGTAAAATATAAGATGTAAGGCACGGTTACTGTGTGCTATTTAAAACAACATTGTGCCTTCCAAACGCACGCTAATATTTACCAGTATTTTTCCACAACGCATATGCTTTAAGCGGAGCAAGAAAACAGCAATCTCAGCTGGATTTTGTCCATCCATTCACCCACACTTCCGAAGTCAAAGTCCATGTTCTGACTTGGGTTTTGCACAATTCAATGATTGTCATCAATGAGACTTTCTTGATCCTCCTGACATTTTCCCGGCTACGTTCCAAGCGTGCAAGGTGCAGACTGCGTGGGAATATCAAGTGGGCATACTAAGCGTGCTTTTTAAACCACAAGTGAGGCGTGCAATATGGGTGTTTTGCTTGAGTGAATGGTGGTGATGATTGTTGTGATTGTGATTATGGAAGGGGGGTGGGAGTACCGTAAAAAAATCACAAAATACCTCAGTATCGTACCACGTGACATTGAGGTGGTGTCGCTTCAGGAGGGTATCGTCCTTGTTGACGTGATCAACGGCCATGGCAACAGCGGGCATTATGCCTCGACCGATGCCACCGCCCGCCCGGCTCTCGTTGAGCGGCATGAGTCCCATGACCAGGAGCTCCGAGCCGAAAGCGCCGCCGCTCCGGAAAATCAGCACTACGGACAGCGGCAGCCACAGCCAGAGCCGGAGCCGAGCTCGCACATCCATGCTGCACGGGGGCGCCGAGGGCAGGCGAAGGGAAACACGACGAGTAGGAGCTGCTTGGGGGTGCTCCGAAGCTGGTGGCGACCGTGGCTAGCTGCCGCCCCTGCTGCTGGCACGACGCATGGTCGCAGTGGCTGGCGATCCTGGCCGCATGAGGGTGGTGGTGGTGGTGAGGGAGGCTGCAGATTGCCTTGGGCACAAGAGAGCTCTTAACGGCCGTCAGCTCTCGTACAGTTAGTTACCTTTTTTGTGTCTGAGCGCTAAAAAAGCGCGGTCCCTGACATGACAACATATGTGCAGTTGGAGTGCCTCCGAGGCTTTGGTCGGCGAGCGCTGGCGAAGCTCGGGGTAAATTAGACACAACGAGAAGCAACCCCCTTGCTTTGTACCCCCCCCCCCCCCACCTCTCACCCAGCGCCTGATGAGCGCAGGGTGACCGAGTCAAAATCGCGCATAAACTGCTGCTGCTGCTGCTTCACTCAGACGCCAGCCTTCAGCACGCACAACTTAATTGAATCGCCCTTTCCACGACGAACGAAAAAAACATATATACACGTGCGAAAACGTGTAAAAATATCGAGAATGCGCTCGGAACATAATTATAAGCGTCTGTAACGTGAGAGTCGTTTAACCGAGCGACGCCGTATATTGTCTATGTGTGTATTACATGGTGAGTTTACAGGCGAGCGTACGTGTGCACAAACGGGCGTCCTACTGTAGCGTACATATGAAACTGGAACGTTACTTCAGTGAGAGTTCATTATTTAGTGCAGACACGCGCAGACTTCATCACGCAGCTATCCGAAGCTGTAGTAGCCCTCATTAGATATCTCATAAGATAGCCTTCACAGCGCGTCGTAGCGCCTGTTCATGCAACGCTCTCCCTGCCCTACCACACGTGATGCATGGACAGACGTGGTGGGTTTGGTATGAGGAACAGGGCTGTCTGTCTGCGAGCTCTTCTTGAAGAGCCCTCGTAAGCCACCGGGAGTCAGTCCCCCGCGCGTCCAGCTCGCGACTCACTTGATGACCATCCCCCGCTATCGATGAGACGCGAGGCCGCGTTCTGTGCTATAACCCACATAACAAAGAGAAATGTGTGATCTGTGCACCCCTGGATTATTCCCTACCCTCCCTCCACCACCCGCTGTGTTTGTGCTCGGGGTGCGCTGTGTGTGACGCGACATGCCATGCATGCGCCGATGCGTGACCGAGATCATTCTCTTCCTTCTTCCCTATATCGCACCACCGCTCCTTTTTTGAAGGGAGGGGGTGTGGGGAATTGTGACATTAAAACTGCAGCCCGTTCTTGAACGGAGGGAACCCCAAAGACAAGGCGCATGAGTGACCGAATTCGTTACAGGCATGCACGTGCAAAGCAGGTTAAAGGTTGGGCGTAAACACGTAAAAAAATTGGCACCGATGTCCACAGGACCTCCGTTGGCTTACGCGTTGTAAAACAGCAATGCTGCGACGTTATTTTCCAACGTCTTACGTATAGGACGAGCACAGTATGGCGGCATTCGTATTCGTCCCATGCAAGGAAATCGCATTATGCAAATATAAAATTATCACACGCGACGACGCAATAAAAAAAACAGCCCTGATGCCCTTTTCAAGTCGTTTTATTTTTGTCTCGCGCTGATTTTTTCCCCCATTAACTTTCAATTCCATGGTAGTGCTCTGCAATGATTAGTATAGTACAAGGTACACATGACAGTACGTTATTAATTGCGTAATCATAATGTCACGTGCAATGCTCTAATTCCCCTGGCACGTATCCATACAACAATCACTAATTATCTAGCATTCCGAATTGAGATTAATCCTATCAGCTTTTTGGGTGGCTTATCGCTTTTACGCATGTATATACCCCTTTGATGCTTAAGACATGCTTGCTAACCACAACTATCAGTGGTTATACAATGTGTACGCATCTCGCGAGTGATTGTTCTTTCCTTCTGGTGAGGGGTAAACATTGATTGTAAAGAGCAATTGCGGAGACAGGGGTGGTTTCTCTCTGATGGAGGATATAGATAAGGTGAACTAATGTTGCACAAAAACACCCAACACATGTTGTTATTTGTGTTTGTGCAGCAATGCTAACGCAGAATCATCAACTGTGTTACATGCTGTACTATACTATTCAAAAACATGTGTTCATACCAAAACATGCATATTCGTATTTAAAGACTAGCTTACATTTAATTGCGTCTAATCAAAAGCAGTAAATGTGTAACCATTTAAGAACCTCAAAGCTAATGTGATACTAATGTATGTGTTAAAGAGTATTATTACAAAGTACTGCATTATTCACCATGATCATCAGAAGCCATTGCCTATCGACTGCTGGATAAAGGCCTCTCCCCACACCGTCGCCATCCCACACGGTAGTCAAGTGCTGTTACCACCTCTAGTGTAAAATGCATTACTGCCATGGTTTTGCAACTGGCTGTCTGATATCGTGAATATATACATGTTCGCTTGCATTTGTTTTCATTGTTACGGTCATGCACGTTACAGATTTGGAAATTTTGCAATGGCATTAATGCGCTCGAAACGTTGTACCAAGTTGTCCAGCGGTTCTGCAGTCATAAAAACGTGGACATATACTCTGGCAGCCTTGGCACACTCAACGTTAATTCCTTAAGACCTCTTTGGCGCTGAAGGAATTTACTAGAATAGCACCGCCTGTAACATGACCAGTGTGGGAGCATACCAGCAACGGGTTAACGCCTCCCTTTTATCGTATTATAGTCAAAGTGGCCATATGTTTTAGTGATTATTTTCTTCTTATTATTGTAAAGCTGTTTTACCGGGTATAAATCCGCTGGTGTGCCGGTACTAGGTGGATTACATCGCAGGATAGTGATGGATGGTGACAGTTTGGGAAGGGCTTCATTCAGCAGTGGATTGATCATGGCTGATGATTATAATAACCTGGTAAGCCCACGTCTGCCTAATTCAGCACCGGGCTGCACGAACAAACGCAAAATATGTGGGAAATCATGCAGTCTATTAAGCGAACTCGTGGATGATTGGTCTTAGACATCAAGGTCTTGATGAGCCCTCTGTATTCCAGCAGGATGGTCTATGTGTATGTGTGTACTTGGGGAATGGCGTAGGTTTCGCCTCGTCATGGCGTTTGACATTTGCACACACGCACACACCATTTCGTATCGTGCACCCCTATCGCCCTGCCACACGACCACACCACCTGTCACCCATCAACCTCACCACCAACCCAGCAGCGTGACCTTGTTTAAGGCAGGGGCATACACCAATTAAACTGGGAGTGGGACGACGACGACGATAGGCAATATTAAACAAACTTCAACCAATCGTTAAACACTTTTGTCCATTATGCATACTGCATTTTCACCCTCCATGTAGAGTATTTGAGGAAAGGCTGCACAACCCATCACTTAATTGGCTGTAAGAATTTTGGAGGGGAGCCGAGCCTTCAGCAGGGGGCTTCGCCTCCTCCAGCCCCTCCCTCCCCCCGACGCCACGTGTTTGCTCTTCACTCTACCCCTGGATCTCCAACTTAAGTCCAGCGAATCCACACAAACTTCCTTGTGATCAGTGATACATCTAAGCTGAAATAATCCAGAACGCTGTTCTGGGAATTATATTGGCATGTGTCCATGCATCTATATATATTTATAAACATGTTCATAGGATTATATAAATGCAGGGTACATTAATATAATTATTATGGATAGGTGTACTCTCGTGGTAGTGCAGGGGGATAGGGGTGCCTCGCGCCGAGAATCCCAAGCCAGCCGAGCCGCGTTCTGGGAAATGTCGAGTTAGAAATTAAACCTTGCTCGTGATCATTCTAGCAACTTCCATCCCCGTGACCACCACCAGCATCTTCTCTCATTACTCCCGAAGACCCGACCCCTCTTTCAAATAGGCTGCAAATGAGCAGCCGCCGATTTGCCCGCACATACGCGTGAACCTGCCGCAGGGCAGTGAAAAAGATATTGCACCGCACATACACACGAACAAATAAATAAATTACGTGTTTATAGCCGCCAGCACCACACACGGTGGCGGCCTATTCAGTCTAAATAAAAGCGTCCGAAACAATCGTCTGGACCGCTCGAGAAAGATCAATGGATAGTGACAGCCAAGGAGGAGGAGGAGGCTGACTCGACCTTCTCGCCCAGACGGAGCGAGAGCGCCATGTCGTGGCTGCTAACGGAGTCGCAGATCAACCATCACGTGAACTCGGGTCATCCTCGCAAGCAGCGGATTTTGGCTCGCCATCGAACAAAGGCGGTCACCGCATCGCGCGCTGTCAGATGCGCTTCTTCGGCCGTCTGGAACGCTCTTCGTTCCGATATCAGCCACTGGAGCTGTGCACTTTTAAACCTAGATTGAAAAATGAAATTGCTCCGATGAGCAAGGGGGCCGTCTATAAATTACGTCACGCGATTTTAGACGATTTTTGACCCCCTCTCAAATATGACGTCACAAAGCTCTGCTCCCCCCCCCCCCCCCAAAAAAAAACATGCTTCAAATCGCTTTAAACTATTGTCATTGTAGTGCGTATTTAATGTGGCGCTGCACTCTGACGTTGTAGGAGAAAACACTGATTAAAAAGTCAATTTAATTAAGTAGAACGTGTTGTCTATATTAATTTAAAGTTTGCGCATTTTGATGTGACGTCACATTTCTCAAACCCCCCCCCCCCTCGTCACACATCGTCACAAATCGTCACAAATGTCTGACCTCCCTCCCCCTAGGTGCGTGACGTCATTTATGGACGGCACCTAGGTTGGCCACGTACGGTGCGAAAGAAGTTCAATATACATACATATCCCAGTTACCGCGAGCGGTCTAACGAAAACATGATGCATCATCCTGCTTTTATCAATCTCGATTATTAAACTCGCGATGCATAACACTGAATTTGCATACGTAAGGACCGCTACCTTGTTCGATTCGTCTGTGTTGCATATGTTTACTGTAGATGTATTTACGTTATATGCTAATCGTTTTAAGTATTACATGACAGGCATATGCTGTTAACTGAAGTTTAATATGGAGTGTACAGTCGAGTATTTATAACCGACTCGTTAAGACTGCGACGATCAGCCCAGTGGCATTTGAGGTAGTATCAGCCATGTGCAGAGTGGAGCCCTCGTATCTGGGCGCATGGGTCGCTCCCGCCATCTAGTGTAAAAAATCAGGAACAGTTGCATCCCCATGTTTTCAGTTGTGAGAGGTCAAGGATTATGCGAATTCAATTTTATTTTATTTGTTACACGGATTATATCATTTAGCCAGTTGTCCGGCTATATTACGAGAGAGAGCAACAACGATTCACGTCACGGAGTGGAATTATTTTAACTGGGGGTGTGCAAGGTTTTGATTGACATGTCCTTAGCCAACCGGACTAATCGAAGGTGCGGTTGAGAAGGGTGGACACAAGACCTTTTATCGCAGGATATACTGCAAATGTACACGAGAAATCTATAACATCTTCCAAGTAAATCTTCACTTAACCATCACGACGCTAACACACAGTGGTTTTGAGAATAACATTTGCAAGGTCTTTAACGTACTTTCTAGAGAGCAGACGACGCTATTACCCGAAGCGTTAGCCTAAACTGTACCGCAAAATTCGGCAGACAGAATTTCAAGTACCGTGCAGACCTATACAGCGATTTACAAGTTGGTCAAGATGTCATGTGACCCCGATTTAATTATCTTAAACGTAATGCTTTTTTCAAGTAAGGTTTATTTAAAACATAATGCATATGCAAAGGAAAAATACATGTTATGGTAAATCCATGGGGGTACAAGACACCTAGACCACCCCGGACATTGTATTCACTGAAACCGAGCGCCCTCTACTGAAAAAAGAGTTTACCCAACCCTGTAAGGGAAGCGTTTTACCCGAGTTCTTGCAGCTTCCAATAAAATTAGAACTCTTGAGTTACACAAAAAAATTGTTTGATGAATAAAGGCCGCATATCCAAGTACCCATCCAGGCTCTCCAAACGTACTCATCTTCCAAGATCTGAAGACAATCAGGCGCATTTCGAGTGATTTATCATATATGCAGCAAGCCTACTTACAACGACAC